AAATCCTCCACGGATCCTGCCGCACACCCAGTTCGCGGGGGGAATCCCCCCATTTGGTCCCCTGACTGCAATGGTAGAGGCTGGATAAGGAGGCAACAATGGATTTTCCCCATTGCCGTTCATTGGACAACAATCCACAGGACAGGAGTTACCAGAACAATGGGTTTTGTTTGGAAAAAACTTTGTTAGCCAAATTTGGATGGCAAAATAAAATCGTGGGAAAGACGGAAGGGAGCCAAGGGGTGCATCCTAAAACAATAATCTGGCAAGGATAATGAAATGCCCAGTTTTGAAATACTATCTAGCAAAGCCATAGGTGCAATACAGCTTGCATTCGTTTTATTAATACAGAATTATTTAATACCCTCCACTGAAGGATCTAGCCAGATATCACTATGTCTCCAGTACTACTTTGCCACAGACTAAACCGGTCTTTCTTTCTTTCTTTCTTTCTTTCTTTCCCACCACTCCCTACATTAGCGCCTGACTTTGGGGTTTTATTTCAGGCTAACCTCCCGCTGAAGAGAAGGAAGGATTGGTTTTCCTCTCAGTCACACCGGTTACTGGTGTGAATTCCCCCGATTCCAGCAATTTGATGTACTGTGAAATCCTGGGAGTGGTTCCAGGCTCGGCCCCTGGGTGAGGGATCGGGCCCCTCCCATTGTGATAAAACCCGACACAAGCCATTCTGCCGAAGACAAGGAGATTTCTCTGCAAACGCGACCCCGTTTTGGAAGGAAGACTCGTGTAAAAGCGTAGCCGGCACTTGGAATACAGTGAAGCGAATGTAAGCGGAGATTAAAGCGCATGTATGATTTATTGTTTCAATAAAAGGACACTGGTTTAATTTGGATGACATCTGAATGGGCACCCTCCTCTTCCCTCCCAACCTCGTCGGGAAATCGGCACTAACAAAATACGATCATTTCTCAGAACTGGAGAAAACGGGTCCTTTCCGGCTCCCTCCCCATCCCATAGTCCACTCCAGCTCCCCCCCCCCAATTTTGTCACATGGTAAAAGTTTTAAATATTTGCTGAGCCCCTCTCTTCTGGGTCTCCTTCCAGAAGCACCCTGCTCCTACCGAGTTTGGGACAGTCTAGTTTCCACTCCAAAGCCTAATGGTAATTGCCACCTGCAAAACAAAACACACAAAAAAAAGCCCTTCAGCTGCCAAAAGGCTTTGTCAATAAAAAGCGAAAAACAAACAATGAACCACCCCCCCCAACCAAACACCCCCCAAAAAACAAAAAACCACAACAAACCAACCAACCGCTCCTCCAAAACCACCCCCAAAATAAACTCACCAAAACCAAAACAAACCAACCCCCCCCCAAACAAACCAACAAACAAACCAAAACAAACCAAAACCAACCCCAACCCCCGCACAACCCCCCCTCCCCTCCAGGTGGGAGTCTCCCTAGATCTGTGGCGGTGACATTCATAGAATCCACCTAACCTGTGTTTGCTCCTAGGAATCCTTGGGACCTTCACAGCAAAGTGGAGAGGAGACAGCTGAGGGGCTGGGTTTTGGGAGCTGTGCCCCCCCCCAGTGATGGCTGCTGAGTTCCCTTTTCTTCTCTGTGCAAGTAAGTCGGCCTCAGAGCAGAGCGAGGATCTGGAATTGTAAAGGGACCAGCAGGGAACTGACCAGGGAATAGTTTTCACTCAATTCCCACGTTCTCTCGGATTTCTCTCCTTATTCCCTGGAGAGCCACCATTCCCCCCAGCCTGTTAACCGGGGACAATGAGTGAGAGCCTCGTTTAATTTAATTTTCCTGTCAGCCTAAACAGAACTACATTGTGAACCTTACACCGACTCATACAGAGCGGGGCTGCTTGGTGTCGCCATGTGCACCAGAAAACCCCCAAAGAGACATTGTTCTGGGAACTCCAGGCTGGCATCAGGCTAGAACCCAATGATGTTTTCCATTTGAGAAGGTGCCCCAATTGTCATTGATACATAGCAATCGTAGATCCAGCACCAGGCTGTAATACCGGGCATGGGGCTACACACCAACCCAAACCTGCAAACCCCTAGAGGGGAAAGGAAGAGAGAGATAACAAAGGAGGACACTGTAGATGAGCCCAATCAGAACTATTCAACACAAACGTGTCCAGACAGCATGTGACACAACCTGGGATATAGAACGATATTTTCCTCAGTGCAGATGATGGATGGTTACATTTGCCATTCCACCCCTCCAGTGGGGTTCATTTGAAAGGACTGAGTAAGATGTCTTGGAAATGCAGCATTGTTGAATTATTCTGCCATCGAGGACCCGACCCTGACACACCCAGGCAATAACAAAACTCCCATTGACTTCAAATAGTAGAAAGGATCGGGTCCCCTAGCTCCCAGCAGAATAGCTTGCTGCTAAGTTCTTTTCTGCCCTAGTGAATTTTATCACTGTTTGTCCTTCTCGGTGGGGGGGAAAAAGTATCACTTTATAGAAATACTACTTCCATGTTTGCTGTTTGAATCAACTTTAGTGTTTCCAGGAAGCCTTGTATTGACATATCTTCACCACAGCCATTCCCAGCCCTTAAATTAGTTGAAAATAGAGGCTTATCAGTCTAAAAAGTAATAAGTGGTCAGCAGCAAAGATATGAATGTGTTTATTGCCCCATCATCCAGTATCTCAGCCTAGGAAAAGAAAAGAAACAGCTTGTGTTTGTAGAAATGCCTCCTGCTTTCATCATTTAAAGGAAGGGCTACCTAGGAAAAGTGACAGTCTTATTAATATCCTTTGTGTGATTTCAAAATGAACAGTAGGAACTTGAATTAAGTAACTGTTTTTAGTGCACATATGTTTCCTTTTAATATCTCTGCTCTCTTCTGTACTGCAGACATTAATCTCGTAAATGCTTTTTTTATTACAGTCAGACTAATTTCAGCCCAGACTGTTCAGTTAATTGACAACTGACGTGACATAGGGTACTTAATGTGTCTCTTTGTGTTCTTGGGTTCATGCAGCAATATTTTGGGTGTCTCCCTGAGACATGAAATGCATTTCTAAACTTTAAGGTTCTGTTCATAAATGCATTTGAAATACATTTGACATGATCACTACATGCAGTGACAATCTCTAATTGTGTAATGCATTTTAAACCAGGCATGCTACTGCAAACTGCTAGAAAGGACGGCATGTGTAGATATTACAGAAATATGCCTACACTGGTCTAAAATGTGATTTTTCTGTAATAAAGCGTGCTGTTAACAATCCAGAAAATTGACTAAATACAAAATGGAATCTCATATAAATTTTTACTGCATGCAGGATGTAAGTTCTTGTGGACACTAAGATATCTTTACACCTCTATGGGAGTGTGAAATGGCCTTACTGACGTGTGCATACATTATCCCTTCCCACAGCCCGTGCTTTAAGGCATATTTACATTGCCAGCATGGTGGAAGTGGAACTTCCTGTAAATGAGAATCGGGCCCAATATGTATAACAGAGCAATTCACTGCACTCTACAGAGATACTTCTTGAGACGCACTTCCTTTCTAGACATCTTTTAAATGTAAAGATTATCAGAACAAAAATGATTTCTCTCACTTCAGCTGGAAGGAAAGAAGAAAGCTGAGTAAATATGTGTTACATAGAGTGAATTAGAATAAATGTGATGTTTTGGCTGTGATTCCAGTTTCAGACTGAGGACATAAATATGAAACAAGGTTAGAGTAAACCCATTGCAATTTAGGATAATGATAAATTAATTGGTATGTATTAATCTTCATGTTTCTTATTTTAATAATCCCAGAAGAAGTCTATGGTAGGTATAAGCATTGTAGAAAATATGTAACTAACTGATGTTATTGCTGCTGTATGTATTTCTTATTAAATTCCCAAATACCATCTCAGTTTGCCTCTCAGTGTCTGTATTTGTCATGGTGACTCTTGTTTTAATACCTTGAAGTTTAGTCTGTGTGTCATTCAAAGACATATAAACATATTATACCTCTTTATAGCCGCAAGTTTAAATGTGAACTAATGCATTGCTCCGGGACATCCTCAGCGGGTGTAAATTGGTGTAGTCCCACCTGCAGTAAGTGTCTGGCATGGGGTAAAAAACAGAGCATCTGAGTCACCACTGAGTTACTCCAGTTTTACACTGATGGAAGTTCATCGATTTCAACGAAGCTCCACCAGGGTAAAACTGCAGTGATACAGGTGTGACTGAGGCCCATTGAGCCAGATGCTCAACTGATGTTTTGATTTGTTTTGTTTTTATTATTTATATCACAGCAGCGCCTATAAGCCCCAGCTCAAACCAGGACCCCGTTGTGCTAGGTGCTGTGTGTACATATAATAGACAGTCTCTCCCCTCTCCCCAACGAGATCGCAGTCTAAATAGACAAGACACACAAAAGATTGGAAGGGAAACAGAGGTGAAGTTACTTGCTCCAGGTAACACAGCAGATTGAATAGCAGAGCAGGAGGAGAATCCAAGTCTCCTTAATCCCAGTTTACCGATCCACTGGGTCTCACTGCTTCTCTATGATTTCAGTGACTCTGTGCTGGTTTGCACCTGCTGAAGATTCTTTAATGGAAAAAGAAATCTTCCCCTGCCAAATATGAGGGGATTTCCACCTTTGGTCACCTACTGAGGAAAACTGTTGCCCCCCATGGTCATATATGATAGATTAAACACATATGGTATCTACAGCCATACATTTTTCACTGATGGGGGAAAATAAATGCCTCATTAAGAGGAATATTCTGAACCATTATGAGATTCCTGGAGAAAATTCGATATGCATGTGCATCTTCACATGGGTAGAGCAAGGGACTTAGGTCCAGATTCAGCAACGTATGGAAGCACTTGCCTAGTTTTAGATAGATGAGTAGTCCCACTGATGCGTACAAAGTTAGGCATCTGCTTCAGTACCTTGATGAAATGGGACCAGATGCCCCAAGGCTGCATTCCTTGTCCCTCTGAAACTCCCACTGACTTCAGCGGGAAGGTCGAGTTTGTGAGGAATGGAAGATCAGCCTCTGGAAGTCAAATCTCTTCCCCCCACACAAGGCCCAACTAACCCTGCTGGGCAGGTGGGCAAACCGGTCTGACACCGTAGGAGGCCGGAGCCAATATAGCATCTGTGATCAGCACCGTAAGAATTTAATGTCTTGATCCTGCTCCCGTCAGAATAAATGGCAAAACTCACACTGACCCCTGCGGCACAAGATATTTCCCCCCCCCTCCCCCGGGTTTTGATTTTTTTCTTTTGGTGAAAAAATTTGGTATGAAATTTTAAAAAAAAGGGATTATTTCAAGGATTTCTTCTTCAGTCAGAAACTCCCAAGCAGCTCGAATGTGAGCTAGTGCCACTCCTAAGAAGACCTGCCACTCATTTAAAGTTGCCCTCCTCCTGCCGTATCCTCAAGGGAGTGAGTCACCAGTACTGTTACCTTGTCTACACAAACATTTCGTTCACGGCAAGCTGGGGTGCGAAACTAGCCTACCGTACTCTAATTCCATGTGCACCTTATTCACGCGCATTAACAGTTCTAGTCCCATTTCGATGAGGACACGATCAAAGCGCATTAACTATAAACATGCAGAAGCAGGTTCGACAGGAACCATTTGTCTGTGGCAGGTTAGTGCGGGGTAGATTTGCTCACCATCTTGCCATGAACTAAAAGTTCGTGTAGACAAGCCCTTTGCCGCTATGTGCTTCAGTTCCCCACCAGCACTTTCCTACCTCATGGGTGTGTGTGAGAGGATAAATTTGTTAAAAGACTATGAGGTGCTCAGATACTGCAACAACGGGGAAGACATATGTACCCTGGTAGCTGATCAGAAATAAGACTCTATATTACCCCTCAGGTTCATAAATGTGTGATTTCATACTGTGACTACATGTTATGAAAATGAAAAAAAAATAGGGCCCCTCCCATCAATCTTGCCATAAGAGAGAGAGGGTGGCACTCCCTCAGGTTGAGATCCCACCAGCTAGAGACTAAGGCGATGTATGTCGATCTGTGAAATTGGAATAGAGTTCTCATATAAAAAACCATATTGTTATAACCTTTCAGGAACAATTTTTTTACCCTAATTTTATCTTTTTCTGCTGCCGTTGGAAATCAGCCACCTGATTATTGATTTCACCGGGGGGATGCACAGGAGTAACCGAAGGCACAAAGTTACTTCTTTATTCATTTTATATTTGGAGGCGTTTCTCCTGCATGCATCACTATGGCTATGTCAACACTGCTCACTGAGGCCGGGTCTGTGGGTCTGTGTAAATCTGGGTTTACAATTGCTAGACCCAGATCTCACACAACCCTACTCCACTATGCAGACTTTCGGACTCAGATCTATGGTTTGACCTGTGTTCACACTGCAAAATTACAGGCTTGGACCTGAGTCCCAGTGGGATTCTGGCTCTGATCCACGCTCATAGCAAGGCCCTAGGACATGAGTCCTGTATGCTTGTTGACCCGAGTCAGACTGATTTGTGTGTGAGCAGAGCCCCTGGGTTTAGTGTGCAGTGTAGACATACTCACTCCCTGCCCTGATCGTAAAGCTCGAGAGGAAATATCTACATGGCTATTTTTAGTGCCCTAGCACGAGCCTTGTGAGCCTGAGTCTGAGACCTGGGGTCTGAGACCTATCTACACTACAGGGTCACCGTAAGCTGCCTTGTGTTGACCTAGCAGTGGAAGTGTCTTCTCTTAAATTTGGCTGCCACCCACAGGTGCCGACTTTACGAGTTCCCGGGGGTGGGAGGGAAGGAGGCTCAACCTCCGCTCCACCCCTTTGCCCAACCCCCACCCCTCCACTCCACCCCTTTGCCCAACCCCACCCCTCCACTCCACCCCTTTGCCCAACCCCCACCCCTTCCCACCTCATTCTGCTCCTTTCCCTCCCCCACAGTGCCTCCTGCACGCCGCTGAACAGCTGATCACAGCAGACAGGAGGCGTT